TGGACAGTATGGCTATGACTCAGATGAGACAGAACCAACTAAATTTAAAATTTAGAGGGATCCCAGAGGACCCAAACGAGAATATAAGATCTAAAATGGTGAAAGAGTTGGCAATTTGGTTAGATAGGAAGGAGGAAGAGATAAGCTTCTCCCTAGCAAATATATTTCGGATAAAAACAAAATCGGCTAAAGCTAGGGGGGAAAAAATTGCCAGGAGATGTAATAGCCATGTTTAACTCGTTGGATATGAGGAACGAAGTACTGAAACAGAATTATAGTAAAAGGTTATATATTGAAGGAAACCCAATTATTGTATTTAAAGAGATCCCTTCGAGATTTCTTCAAAGGAGGGATGTGTATAAAAAATTAACTAACCAACTGAAGAAAAATGGGATCCTATATAGATGGGAGTTTCCGGAAGGAATTTCATTCTACTTTAAGGATAAAAGATTCAAACTGTCCAGCCCTTCAGAACTTGAAAAATTTGCAAGAAGATACGAGAAGGAACTTGGAAGGGTTGCGGGGTGGGGGAGGGAGGAGCGGCCGGGGCGGGGGCGGGGGGGAGTGAAGAGGAAGAGAGAGAGATAAACTTAACAGAAGCGAGGGAAGAGGAAGAGAAAGAAGACAAAGAACAGCCGCTTTAAGCCAGATTTGATAATTTACTAATTGTACATAATAGATGGCTTTAAAAATACTGTCTTGGAACGTGAACGGACTTAACAATAAAAATAAAAGGAACCAGATTACACATATTCTATTAAAAAAAGAACCTTGACATAATCTGTCTACAAGAGACTCATGTAATAAGAAAACATAAGAGAATTCTGAATAATAAGAAACTAGGGTTGGATTTTGTGGCATCGGATAAGGTTAAGAAAAGAGGTGTGGTACTATATATAAAGGAAAAATTCGACCCAAAAATACTGTATAAAGACGAGCAAGGGAGAATGATAGTAGTACAGATTGTATTCCAAGGAATAAAAATAATTGTCGCCGGAATATACGCACCTAACGATAAAAAAATCGGCTTTCTTCTTAGAATTAGGTAATAAGTTATTAGAGTGGATGGATCAAAAAATGATATTGATGGGCGATTTTAATGGAGTGGTGTCACCAAATCTAGATAGATCAACAAAAAAGCAAGAGATGAAGGAAGGCAAGCTACTGCGAACGTTCTTTGATTTGGTTGATAATATGGGTCTAATTGATGCTTGGAGATTTAAAAACCCCACTACAAAACAGTATACATTTTTCTCAAACCCAAATGAGAGTTGGGGGAGAATAGACAGTATCTGGATCTCGAAGGAGTTGACACAGAACTTAGCTAAATCTGAAATACTCCCACAAACTATATCTGACCATAATCCGGTATTTATGGAGATAAAGGGTAAAGATACTAGAGTATTTAGATGGAGAATGAATGAAGGTATATTTAATAATCAAAAGATAGTAAGTGAGGCGAAAGAAACAATCGAAGAATACTTCAAGTGGAATTTACACAAAGAAACAGCTACAGAAACGGTCTGGGATGCAGGAAAAGCCGTTATGAGGGGCTTCCTAATTCAGAAAAACAGCCATTTAAGAAAAGAAAAAAAGAAAAAAAAAAAGAAGAGATTCTAACACAGCTTATGGAGAATGAAAGACAACTAGCTATTAAACCAGGTGACGAGACAATAAAGCAAAACTTAAAAATATTACAAACCCAATTTTCTATGATAGTTAACCAGGAAATTGAGTGGAAAATTAAAATGATGAAACAAAAGAACTTTGAATCAGCTAATAAAATAGGAAAATTCTTGGCGTGGCAAATAAGAGAAAGGAAAAAACAAAATACGATCTGCAAGATAAGGGATGGAGAAAGGATAGTGGAAGAGCCAAAAGAAATAAAAAGGATATTTCAGACGTATTATAAGGAATTGTATAAAAGAGGAAAGGAAATAGATTATGAAATAGACCGATACCTGGAAGATCACCATTTACAACAGATTGCCATAGAAGAGAAAGAGTTATTAGACCAGATGATTACAGAAGATGAGATAAGGAAGGCAATAAAAAAGATGAAAATTGGGAAAGCGCCGGGCCCCGATGGCCTCCCAGCCAAGTACTATAACACAATAACTGAGCAAATATGCCCAATACTATCTGAAGTGATGAACAATATTTTAAAAGAGGGAAGGATTCCGAATACCTGGAAGGAAGCATATATTACTTTAATACCTAAAAAAGATGTGGATGCCTTAGAAGTGAAGAACTATAGGCCGATTTCGTTATTAAATAACGATTATAAACTGTTTGCGGATATAATGGCAGAAAGACTAAAAAGGGTATTAAAAAATAGAATTCATAAAGATCAAACGGGCTTCCTACCAGGAAGACAACTAAAGGATAACGTAAGAAATGTGATAGATATTATTGAATACCTGGAAACTAGAATAGATAAACAGGCGGCCTTGATATTCATCGATGCGGAGAAGGCATTTGATAATGTCTCTTGGCGCTTTCTGATGGAAAATTTGAAAAGGATGGGGATGGGAGAAAGATTCAGAAAAGGTATAGAGGCTATCTATCATGAGCAAAACGCAAAACTTATAATAAATAATACTACATCAGAATTTTTGATATTTCTAAAGGGACGAGGCAAGGCTGCCCTCTGTCCCCCCTATTATTCATCTTAGTATTGGAAGTACTTACTAAGAGGCTGAGGGATACAGCAGAGGTTAAAGGAGTCAGGGTAGGAACTAAGGAACACAAAATTAAAGCTTTTGCGGATGACATTGTTCTAACATTAGAAGATCCAAAGCACAGTGTAAAAGAAGCCCTACAAAAATTGAAGAGTTTGGTGCTGTGGCAGGCTTTAAGGTCAATAAGAATAAGACTAAAATACTGACTAAAAATGTATCTAAAGAAGATATAGTAGATCTAGAACAAAAAACCGGAATTATGACGGCAAAGAAGGTGAAGTACCTTGGAGTCTGGATTACGGCTAAGAACATTAATCTATATAAGGATAACTATGAGGTCACCTGGAAGAACATTAAGAAAGACTTAGAAATCTGGGAGAGAATGAGACTATCTTTTTTGGGGAGGATAGTGGTTATTAAAATGAACGTTTTGCCTAGAATGTTATTTTTATTTCAAACCATCCCGGTACTTAAAGGTTTAAAGCAATGTAAAGAATGGCAAAGAGCCTTGGCGAGATACATCTGGCAGGGAAAAAGACCGCGAATAAAAATGAAAATACTGGTAGACAGAAAAGAAAGAGGGGGCTTCTCCCTTCCGGACTTATGTTTATACTATGAGGCGGCGTGTTTATCGTGGTTGAAAGACTGGATAACGCTAGAAAACAGAGACATCTTGGATCTTGAAGGCTTCGACAACAGGTACGGGTGGCACTCGTACCTGTGGTATGAAAAGGTGAAAGTACATAGAGGCTTTTTAAACCATATTTTTAGAGGGCCAATATTCCAAGTATGGGAAAGAAATAAAAACCTATTGGAAAGCAAGACACCCTGGTGGATCTCACCAAAAGAGGTGTTAACGGTCAAAAAAGTTAATATGGAAGGGAAGAATCCTACCTATGAAGAACTGACTAGGAAAACGGATCAAGGTATAAAACTTAGACCCTATGAAGAGATTAAAAACTCATTTACTGGGTGGCTGCAATACCACCAGGTAAATGACCTGTTAAAAGAAGATAAAAAGAAAATAGTATTCGAAGATAAAAAATCTAAATTCAATGTGGAAGTTGTTGAAGGAAAGAACAAAATACTGTCTAGAATATACGATATTTTATTGGAGTGGTATACAAAAGATGAGGAGGTGAAGGAGGTTATGACTAAGTGGGCAATAGACAACGGCTATAACATCGATTTTGAGAGATGGCTAGAATTATGGAATATTAACATGAAGTTCACGGCATGTATGGCATTAAGGGAAAATATGTGGAAAATGATATTTAGGTGGTACCTCACACCAGTGAAACTGGCTAAGATCTATAGGTTAAAGAACAAAAGATGTTGGAAATGTGGAGAAGTAGATGGTGACTTCTACCATATGTGGTGGTTATGCAGCAAAGTGAAAGGCTTTTGGGAATCGATTTATAACGAGCTTAAAATTTTTTTTAAATACACGTTTCCCAAAAAACCCGAAGCCTTTCTGCTAGGAATGACAGGTAAAGAAATTTAAAAAGAAGATAAGGTACTATTTTTATATGCCACAACAGCCGCAAGAATCATGTTAGCACAAAATTGGAAAACGGACGCCATACCTAATATAAGTGATTGGCAGATCAAATTAACAAATTATGCTGAGCTTGCTAGAATAACAGGAAGAATAAGAGATCAAGATGAACAGAAATTTCATGACAATTGGATTAAATATTGGATATATATTGGGACCAAACTTTAAACGACACTGGCGGGACTGGAATAACTCTAACAGTAAAAGGTTATTATGTAAAAGAGATAAAATATAAAGTCTATTTGATACTTACCAAAGGAGTGGAAGGAAGTTCAAGGCTTGGCAGAGCCTAAAATAAATGTATTTATGATTTATGGAATGAATATATTATGTGTAATTTAAGTATTGGACTTTGTATAAGTTTATATGTATATATGTATAATACCAATAAAAATTTATCAGCGGGGAAAAAAAAAGAAATTGGTCGGTAGTTCTTTACTTGAGCTCTATCTGTAACCGGTTTAGGTATCAGAGTGATAAATGCCTCTTTCCAGGACTTGGGGGCTTTGTCCCCCTGTAATATCTTGTTACAAGCATCCATCAATGGTTGTATCAGCCAATCCTTAAATATTTTATAATATTTGGATGTTAAACCATCAGGTCCCAGTGCTTTGCCTATTTGCATTTGGGCAATTGCCACTTCGACTTCTTGTCTTGTAATCTGTTCATTTAGTAAGGTTCCTTTTATCCGCTGGAATTTTCTGCAATCAATTTTTATCCAAAAACTGTTCCACTTTTTCCTTTTCTTCTTTTTATTTTTTGTAAAGCTGCTTACAGTATTTTTGAAAGCATTTTCTAATCTCTGCTGGGTTCTCAATATTCTTTCCATCCTCCATAATGTTAATTATTGTACTCTCCTTTTGTCTCTTTTTTCAATTGCCAAGCCAATAATTTCCCACATTTATTTGCCGATTCAAAAGTCTTTTGTTTCATCAATTTAATTTTCCATTCAATTTCTCGATTTACTATTTGTGGATTGTAACACCTTAATCTCCTTTTGAATCTGTTGATTTTTGGGATTACATCTCATCTCAGTTTTTTCTCTTTTTCCTTCAGTTGAGACAGGATTTTTTTCCTTTTGTTCATTCTGTGCTTTCTTCCTAATAGAGTTCTGTTGGATCAGGAAACCTCGCATTACTGCTTTACTTGCATCCCATACGACCCTTGCTTCAGTTCCAGGATTCAGGTTCAATTCAAAATAATCCTTTAGGGTCTTCTGAGCTTTATTAACAATCAAATAATTTCTGAGTAAAGCATCATTCATCCGCCATCTGAAAGAACCCTGTAGAGACAATTTTAATTCTGTTAACACAGCATTATGATCGGAACAAGTCCTTGGACAGATCTCATATTTAGTCACTCTTGGGGTCAAGTCTTTCGTTAGCTATATATAATGCAGGCGACTAGACAATAGATTTGCATCTGAAAAAAATGTAAAATCTTTCTCCATTGGATTCCTCAATCTCCAAATATCCACCAGGTCAAAATTGTCCACCATCTCAAAAAACATCTTTGGTAGCCTCCCATCATTAGTAAGTTTTTGCCTTTGGGTTCTATCCATCATTGTTGAGACTACCCCATTCAAATCCCCCATAAATACAATTTTGTAATCCAGATAGTCCATAAGAATAGCTCAGAGAAAGGAGGGGCCGGTAGCAGAATGGTGCAGAGGGAGCGTGCTAAGCCCCAGTCCAAGCAAGCACTTGCTATGATTACACCGAAGACGTCATTGTCAACTTGGAATGCATTTGTTGTCGACACGGGAGCCACAGTTCATCTGACTGGACGCAAGGGGTTGTTTACCATGTTTGAGGAACAGCGTTACACCATATCATGATTTGGAAGCCACTGGGTTTGGAACAGTGTTTCTTGAGAGCCTCCAAACCACGATTAGCAATGTCTATTTTGTTCCAGGTTTAGCTTATAACCTGTTGAGTGTATCACAACTGACTGAGCAGGAGTTTGAGGTTTCAAGCAACAAGAAGAGATGTGTGATCTCCAGAGATGGAACACCACTTCTGTACGCCCACAAAGAAGATGGACTTTATTTGCTGTCCTTTGATAATACTGATTGTAAGGATTATAATGTTGTTGATGTGTCTTGTGTTACAGGTGCGACAGGCAAGAAACCTAAAAAAGTCACCAGAGTTTTCCAGCGAGTGTATGCTGAAGTGGTTGGACCTCTACTGCCTTCTAGAGGCAAAGCCAAGTATTACCTGATAATGGTTGACTGTTTTTCTCAGTATGTTTGGGTGCATATGTTGCAGAGACCGCAGCAAACTTTAAGAAAGTTCAGAGAATTTTGTGATAAGGTAAAATTTGTTCAAGATGCTAATGTTGAATGTCTTTTCACTGATGAAAAGCAGGTTTTTGTTTCACAGGAATTTCAAAAGTCCCTAGGTGAACAGGAGATTGAGCACAAGGTTGCTGTCTCAGAAGCTTCATGGAACAAGAGTGTATGCGTCAAGGTGAACACAGAGTTGCAACAAGGCATTAAAGCACAACTGCTAAGTGCAGGTTTGCCCCAAAAGTTTTGAGCTGAGTTGCTGAATGCTTTTTCTTACACGTGGGTAAGAAAGGTTTCCACAGGTATGGAAAGTTCTCCTTTTGAGAGACTGTTCCAGAGAAAACCTTCTGTCAAGCACTTAAAGGTTTTCGGGTCTCACATGTGGATAGAAACACCACAAGGTGCAAAAGGTGCACAGGGCATTTTCATGGGTTATGAGAAAGGTCAATACAGAGTTTTATTGCCTGATTCTGACACAGTAATTCTTACTAGGGAAGTAGAATACACTGCACAACAGGAGAGAGAGGTTCTCCACAGTTTCCCCATCAATGCTAACACAGATGTAGATTCTGACACTGAGAGTGACACTGAAAGCACCACTGAGAGTTGTAGTACAGACGACACAGTTCTTGAGAGAGATACACAAGCAATCTCCAGGCCATTGTCTGAGGCTGAACTGGAATTGCCAGAGCCACTGTTTACTGTTGGTTGTGGTTCTCCCAAACGTTCTCCCAAGGAAGAACCAGCCAGCAAAGAGGATCTGCACCTGATACGTAGATCTGAGAGAGTCACAAAGGGACTGCCACCCAAGAGGTGCTCTCGGGAGTTTGCTAACACAGCTGTTGCATGTATAGCTGTGGCTAGCAGCTCAAACCAGGTTTCAGACACTGAGGTCTTGAGTGAGGTACAAGGAGAGACAAAACTACACCTGAAGGTTGCAAGAGTCAACACTGTTTCCTCAGACCAAGATAGAGCAAAAGCTCTACTCCCATGGCAGAAAGGTAACCAGAGGTTTGAACTGGTCGATCCAGTTGCAGGTAGTTCCAAAGGTGGAACTGGTACAACAGGGGTATACTATGTGTATGACAACTGTTTGTTTATGTCACTTGATGCTGCACTAACTTACGCAGCTACGGTTATCTAAAAAGGGAGGGTATGTTAGGATTTTTAATCTATCCGAGCTGCGCTAGTGAATGGTACTATGATTTGTGTACATTATGTAAGTGTCTGAGAGAGCGTGAGAAAGGAAGTCTGTATTATCTCTTCCTTCTGAGTACTGTTGGAAGTTGGTTTCACTTCTGTATTGTGTCGTAGTTCTGTACTGGTGTTCAGAGAGCACAGATGTACTGATGGAGTTTCTGTATATGAGACTGTAAATAAAGTAGTTTAGAACTACGATTGAGTCTTTCTTCTGCTATGAGATATCAGAAGACTGGCATGCTCTTTTCAGGAGAGAAGGGTCGCTTATTACCGGTCTCTCTGGACTGAGGGAGATTTATAGCCAGAGAGGACCACCGGAGAGATGCTCCGAAGATGTGGGAAGTTGACAGCCTTCCCAGCGTGTTTTTACAGCAGACAGCGCAGTTCTTTGTAGAGCACATGTTTAAGCTGTATGGGTTACCTTTGAGGGTCATATAAGATAGGGGGACACAATCTACCTCACATTTTTGGAGGCACCCCCAGACTAAGTATAGGCAACAGGGTAAGGAGATAAGGGTGGGGGACCAGGTGTGGTTGTCCACGAAGGATTTGCCTCAGAAGGGTAGGTGCTGGAAGTTGGCTCCCCAGTGGGTGGGACCCTTTGAGGTGGTGGAGCAAATCAATCCTGTGTTGTTTAGGCTTAGGTTGCCGGCATCCATGAAAATACACCCTGTATTCCACAGAGTTTTGCTATCGCCAGTGGTCCCTGCTCACACGTACCAAAATCCCAGGAAGGTGTCCCCTCCCCCTGTAGTAATAGACAACCAGAAGGAGTATGAGGTGCATGAACTACTGGACACACACTGGAGAAGGAGAAGACTGCAGTACTTGGTGTCCTGGGAGGGATATGGGGCAGAGGAGAGCTCTTGGGAATTTGCAGAGGACATTCATACTCCTGTATTGTAGAACGAGTTCCACCGGAAGTATCCTGGCAAGCCCAAACCAAGAGGATGGAGGGAAGAAAGTGACCTAGAGAAGGAAGGACAGAAGGGAGACAGCACAAGAGTGTGGGTGGAAGGGTCTTTGAGCGAGGGAGAAGAGGAGGAAGGGCTTAGAAGGGGGGTGATGTCAGAGACGTGGCTCCCCAGAGCGATGTTGAGGAGGAAGAGGGGGATAGCAAGCTGGAGGTCTACCAAGACAGGGATTTTCAGAGCAGCAGTGAGAAGGACAGCTTTCACTCCCAGCTGCTCGTCTTCAGCCCCCTCACCCCCCCCCCCACTGGCTTCTCATGTCAGAGGAGAAGAGACAGTTTCTCAGGGCAATGAACCAGAGTTGGTGGAAAGCATAGACGCTGATAATGAGTATCAGCTTGCGACAGAGAGGGAGGGGGAGCACTCGGGAGAAGAGAATGCATATCCATGTGAGTCTGCGTGCACGCGTCACTTAACAAGTATTAAAGACGTAAAGTAAAGAGGGGAAGGAAAGGGGGGAGCTTTTGGAGGGTTTCCTGTTGGCACAGGGGGCAGAACTCAGACACTTAAACTTTGTAATGAGAAAGCAGCCTTGGAGACTGCTTACTAATTGCTGTAAATAATAAACTGTTTGAAAATACCAGAACATTTGCTTGCTGCCTAATTAAGCTGAGAGGAAGCCAGACCCTGACAGCACAACTCCACTTTGAGAAGTTGCATGAGCTTCTTCCAGAATTGTGAGGTGAACTGGGTTCCTCTATCCGAAATAATCTGGAAACTAAGGCTTTGCTTTCGCTTGTTAACCCCCCCCCCCCATCGGCTCAAGGAGGAGAGGGGAAAAGCCGGATGGATTACAGAGAGCCCCCAAAGACCGTGGGAAGCAGCTCCTCCTCAGCGGAGGAGAGTAACCACGCCTCCAGTGGAGAGGAGCTCGGAGGAGGCGAGGCGGTGCCAGGACACCTTGCCTGGGCAAAGCAGGGAGGAGAGAGGTCCTCCGTTACTCACACCCTCCTTGCGTGGACCGAGGAAGCACAGCCGTCCTTTGAAAGGTTAAAGAAGGTGTTTGCCTCGGAGGAGCAGCTCCTGCACGTGGATCTGGGGAAGCCACTGAGAGTGGAGATGAACGTTTCAGACCGGGCCATAGGAGCAGTACTGTTGCAACAAGGGTCAGAGGAGGACTGGAGACCTTGTCCGTTTTTCTCCAGGAAACTGAGCAAGTCAGAGCAAAATTACACTGTTTATGACAAAGAATGGCTGGCCATTTATGCGGCCTTTTGGCAGTGGAGACACTTTTTGATTGGGGCGCGGCACCGGATCCAGGTCCAAACCACAAGAACCTGGAATACTGGTGGACAGAGCGCGTGCTTAACCAGAGACAGGTCAGATGGTCCCAGATGTTCTCACAGTATCTCTTCGAGATACAATACACACCTGGGGGGGGGGAATGTGAGGGCGGACACACTTTCCAGGAAACCTGAGTACATGGAAGGGGAAGGACCTCCTGTGGCCAGGCACGTGTTCCCAGAGGACCGCTGGTCGTGTGGGGGAGCACTGGTAGGGGAGCAAAACTGGCTGGGCTGACCAGAGACGATGAGTTTGCTCAGACTAAAATCAGGGAGCTTAGAGATGGAAAGGGGGGAAATGGGGGTTTTGAGGAAAAAGGAGGGCTCCTGTACTACAAAGGGGCACTGTATGTGCCAGAAGAGACATTGAGGGCCAAGATACTTAGGCAGCTCCATGACAACCCAACAGCCGGGCATTTTGGGCAGCATAAGACCATGCTACTAGTCACCAGACAGTTCTGGTGGCCCAAGGTAAGGGAGGATGTACGAGAATATATCCGGGGGTGCGACAGGTGCCAGAGGGCCAAAGGTGAAAGAACCGCACCAGTGGGGTTACTGGAACCTTTACCAACACCGGAGAGGCCTTGGGAGGTGGTGTCCATTGATTTTATGACAGATCTGCGCAAGTCAAGGGAGGAAACAGCAGTTATGGTGGTGGTCGATCTACTGACCAAAATGTGCCATTTTGTGGCCTGCTCTCATGCGGTGTCAGCAGAGGAGACAGCCAGGCTTTTTGTGGACCACATTTTTAGGCTGCATGGGATGCCATTGAGGGTGGTCTCCGATAGAGGAAGACAATTTACCTCGCAGTTCTGGCGGAAACTCATGAGCTTGCTGCAGGTAGAGGTGAGCTTCTTGACGGTGAGGCACCCAGAAAACAGGCCGAAAGGGCGAATGGAATACTACAGCAGTACCTATGCTGTTATGTCAGTGAGAGGCAGAACGATTGGTTAGAGAAATTGGCGCTGGCTGAATTTGCGTACAACGCTGAACACGTGTACACGGGAATGAGCCCCTTAATGGCCAATTACAGGTGTCACCCCAGGGCCTTCCCAGGGCATGGGGAGAAGGAATGGAGTGTGCCAACGGCGGAGCAATTTGCAGAAGAAATGGAGGCTTTACACCAACAACTCCGGCTAAACTTGGAAAGGGCTAAAGAAGTCTACAAAAGGCAGGCAGACAGGCACCGCAGGCCAGGGGAGGTCATACGGGTGGGAGACAGGGTTGTTACCATAAAGCACCAATGCTGCAGCAAGCAAAGGCTCTAGCAGCTCAGCCAGCTGCTTGTGGCTGGAAAGCCAGGCAGGATGTTTGTGACTGTTGCCATGGGAACAAAGGGGCAGTCCATTCTGTACTGAGCACCGGATGTTAGCTCAGTGTGTGTGTGTGTCATATGACCCGTACTGGATGTACTTGGGAGGAGTTTCGTCTTGCTGTTGTTGAGTGCAGACATGATTCTCTGTACTGATGTAAGAGGCAGAAATAAATGATGTAAATAGTTTTCTGTCTGCTTCTTTCCCTCCCTGGGGACACCAAAGGGGAGAGAGGAAGAACGGTGTGTTCCTCTCATACATCTGAGAAGAATCGCCGGACCTCGCCTGCTTATCAGCAGAGTGGAGACGCGGGGAGGTCGACAGGAATATCTGCCGGTGCCTACGCTGTGGCACATTCCTCTGACCCAGGCAGAATTCCAACAGTGGCAGCCTTCGGATGGTTTCGATCCATCGGACATCTGCATGAGAGGCTGGTGGATTGTCCTCCTCTGCTCCAAGGAGGAATAGAAGCGTCTGAAAGAAGCCAGAGGCTCCACAGACAGCTGGTGGAAAGAAGAGGTGTTTTCCCAAGCAACAGAGCTCAAGGTATGCTGCATTTCGGGCTAAAAGTGTGAACGCAGGAAGATTAATTCCCTGGTTCACGGAGCTGCGTTTCAAAGAAAACAAGAGCTCCGGGAGAAGAGGCCTGCAGCTTGAAGGCTGAAGCCTGCATTCCACAAATTTTTGTGGTAGATAAGATGTCTTATTGAAATGCATTGTTGCTAGGTAACGGTCCTGGAAAGTTACTGGCAAAGGGGCTGGACTCTGAGTGTGAGCCTGGGAAAGCGAAACAAAATCAGAGAATGTTTTGGCTACAAGTTTATGAGCTCTTGGAAGGGACTTTTCAATAGCAGCCTGAGTTTAGCTGCCAGGTGCAAAAAGCACAAACAACTTGCAGTTTGCCTGCGTGAGAAAGAAAAAACTGCTGTTGGATTTTGCAGCTTGTTTGGAGGTGAGAGAGGCTTGGCTTCAAGATGGATGCCAAGAAAGGGGGAGGTTTGCCTTGCCCACCTCCCTTAACCAATGACAATTATTCATCTTGGTCTGTAAAGATGAAGGCCCTGCTGCAGAATCAGAGGCTTTTTGATGTAATTGAAAACCCCATCCCTGCAGCACCAACCAGAGGTTGGGAGTCACAGAATGTAAGGGCCAGGACTGCTATAATTCTGTGTGTCTCAGATGATCAGTTGGTGCATGTTCAGCATTTAGAAAATGCGAAAGAGGTATGGGACACGCTGCGTACAACGCATCAGAGAGATGCTGGTTCTTCAGCGTTGCTGTATTTTGAGAAATTGACCAATCTGAGACTTGCGCCTGATGGAGATGTTCAAGCGCACCTGACAGAAATGAAGTTTCTGCGTCAACAGATGGTGGAACGCAATTTCCGTCTTCAGGAGGAAGTGTTTTGCTTCATGATGATAAACAGCCTTAGCCGCACCTACAAGGTTGTTGCCAGTCAGCTTGGTTCCCTACCGGCCGCGCAGCTGACCGCGGAGAGAGTTTGTGCTGTGGTCCTGAATGAACACGACAGACTTGCTGCACTGGAAGAAAAAGACAGGGGAGGGAAGAACAGAGTTCTAATTTCCCCACTGCTGATGCTACTGGAGAGCATGGTGTAGCATTGAGTGCTGTCCGATGCTACAATTGTGGACAGACTGGGCATCTACAGCGGAACTGTAAGAAGCCGCGCCAGTCAAGAGGAGCAAAGAGCAGCTCTACGAAGCCTCAGGCGTCAGGCAAAAGCCGTACCAAGTGCCAGGTGAAACCTGCAAAGGCTATGATGGCGAAAGGAACCACGCCAGATGTTAGAAACTCGTTCATAATTGACACGGGCGCAACGGTTCACATGTGCCCGCACAGAGGACTATTTTCGACGTTGAAGAAGCAAAGCTTCACTGTGAAACAGGCCAACGGTCAGGAGCTGGAAGC